TTTTTTATTTTTTTAAGAAAATAAAAATTATTTTGCAAGAAAAATATTCTTTTATAACGTAAGATATGACCTCCGCACATTTAAGCTACATAGATGCTCCTGAGCTAGAATGTCACGTGAGTGCTCGGCGGCCCAGCCACTGAGTATCGAGCGGTAGTGAGGGTCGCTCGCCGGAATCGGCCCAAAATATGCATATAATGCTGAGTACTGATTTAAAGAAATCAATTAACAGATGATGGTACAAGTTCCCATAAATTCTGTAATGTGCTGCCTTCTCTTGGCTCTTCCGTCGCAAGTCCTAAATGAATCGAATAATTTGGCTTTCTTTGACTTGTTTCTCTCTCAGAGAAATAATAACCAAATATATTTGATATTTCAGCTTGATTATCTTGTATCTCAGTGAAGTGTTCTACACTAATCTCTTCTTGCGCAGGTGCCTGTAATGGCAAGGATACTTGATCATTATTACGTTGGACAAAATTTATTAATAATTAAATTTTAAATAATCTGTAAGATTTTGCAAGTTGTAAAAAAACATTTTAAAAGAAATTTTTAAGATACAATTAAAATTTAATTATAATCAAGTTATGAGCAGAGAAAAAATAACATTCAAATTTGATTTATTTACTTTTGATTAATAAGTACTTCAGCTTCTCTGTGACATTGATAAAATATAATACATCCCAGTAAACGAAAATGGATTCAAATTTTCAGAAGTACACATTTGCAAACATTAAAATAAATATTTTTTAATCCAAATGCATTTTTATTCATTCATAGGAATGGCATGAAACTCATTTTATTCAAATGGATTCAATGAGCGAATGAAATAATGAGAATTAAATAGATAAGACTAAAAAAAAGAATAATAAAGAGAGAATAAAACTAAACAAAAGTATTTTTTTTATTCAATTGTGGATTCAATGAGCAAAATACGCATAAAAATTTCAATCTATTTTAATCCATTCCCGATTACTGGGATATCAATTTCAAAATCAAAATACCTGATGTTCAAATGTATATTCCACACCAAAAATAGGAAATTTTTCAAATTCTGAACGAAGTATTGATATTTCTTTGTATGTAATATGAAGCTGTTGCAAGGGATTAACGCGAAAACCTAAGATGTATCCTCCACTGGTTTCTGTACTTAAAATTACTAAAGTTGGTCCAAATTTCGATGTCCTTATAGTAATCTACAAAAAAATTTATTCATATGGTACATACATATAATTTTTTATATTTCGTAAATTTTTTTGTTATTAAAAACATTAAATGTAACATATAAGATGTATGTATAAAGTACAAGACGTCTCTACATATAGTGTGCCTTCCAACAAGCAACACAAATGACACAATGGATCATTTCATCCTTGTTGCTTGCCAATGTTAAACAAAGATGACATGATCACTGTGTCGCACTATGTCGCTTGTTGGAAGGCACACAATTAAACGTCATTTTAAATCATTCCTAAACAATATTACCATAAGTAGTCGTTAGAAATCGTGAAAATATAATAAAATTTTCATCATTTTTATATTAAAATTTACAACAGCAAAAGAAAAAACTTTTCCAATTTATCAAAGTCATATTGTTATCTATATATTTCTAAACAAAATTATATGAATTTTTATAAATAAATCAATTTCTCTCCGTATTACACATAAAAAATAAATAATGTTATGTAATATACTTGAATCATCATCATTATTATTAAGGCGCAGGTATATACACATACAATAGGAATTCGTGACGGGGGTTGCCAGATATATAATACGTAAAATCCCATACAGAGCGCACTCAAATCGCTCAAAATCACAAAATATAAATACGCTATTTTTAAAAAGCGTTGAAAACGATGTAGTAAACAAAATAAAATGCAAATTTTATGTTATACCTGTATATTTCCTTATAAATCAAAGAAAATCATAATGAGAAAAAAAATTGTTGAAAATTGTTTCAAATTTTTACCAAGCCTTGATGTTTAGTGAAAGAAAATTAAATATTCCATTTTTTAGGGGTTCTATTTAGAGGAAGTTATTAAATTCGTTTCATAATGATTGTATTAAAAGTCCGACAATTATCGGCGCACAATCATATTCGGAACAAAAAATTGATTAATTATATTCGTAACATCTAACTTTGACCGTTTGGCATTCATTATTTTATTCGATTAAATATTTCTGTTAATTTTTTCATAAATATGCAAAAATAATAAGGGAATTACCTATGAAAATCAAAAGAAAAGTTATGTTAAAATTTATCTTTCAATTTCTTTTTTTTTCCTAACTTTATACTTTTGTGAATACGTCTCCCATTTTATTTTCAAATAAACGACACCAATAGATAATAAAATGCCATACAAGAAAAGGATCACTTATTAAAGGTTGCTTTCTTTTTACAAAGCGCAAAATGTGATCGACAGCCTAGAGAATTTAACATAAAAATTCTAACAATGCATTTCATGTGCGATAGGCTTAAACGGAGAGCACAGACTCTTACATAATGCATAAAACATGAGGCATAAGAAAATCAACCAATCGGAGTCCTTTATTTCATGGAAAGGAAGGAAATAAAACGCTTTGATTGGTTTATTTTCTGTATTACGTGTTATATGTGAGCCCGGATCCCCATACGAACAACAGCGCTTTGACACCGAACGCTGATTGGTGAAAAATAGGTGACGAAAGTAAATTTTATCCCTACAACCGACTTTTTACCAATCAGCGTTTGGTGTCAAAGCGCTGTTGCATATGATCCGGGCTTAAGGTACAATTTTATGGTGTCGCAGTGATAATGATCACGTGATCGAATTCTCCCTCAAGTTGTTTACTTTCTTGTCGCCAGCGACACCGTAGAAAAGTTGGATTAATCCAACTTTTAGCGACATCGCTCTTATGCAAAGATTTAAACATGGAACAGCAGGATGTAAGTATAATAAAGGTATTTACTTAAGCTATATTTCAAAACATCCTGTACGAAGAAAATTTTACTGGAAATATATAGGACATGTAACGTATACTACAGTATTTCGGACAAAATTTTCCTCGGAGAGAACTTTTTTGAATGTAGCGTTAGAATATGAATATCATCGAAAAATTTGATAAAAATATACTCATTCGATATATTTCCATTCGAAATGAGAGAATGTAGTAGAAAAATGTGACAGTCTGCCTTACGAAGCGACTATTCAGGTTAGAAAAATATTTTTTTTATCTGAATAGTTATTAGAGCGTAACATAAATGTCACCATGTATTATCTTATTATCCAATGTTAAACACAAGAATAAAACGATACATGGGAGCACTCGGATAATATTTTCGAACAATAGTCCTCTAACATTTAATAATTTGCTTCGTGAAGCATATCACCATGTTTTTCTGGCAGATTCTTTCATTTTGAGTGAAAACGTGTCCAATAAATAAATTTTTATCAAGTGGTGATGCCCATATTCTAAATAGTTATCACAATAAATAAATAAATACAATTTCTTATTAATAAAAAATTTGTTGCATGTGATTTTACCTCATTTAACTCTAATTATTTTTATTTGTATTTCCAATTTTATTTATACTTTTCTTTGTGATTGCTCAATACATTATACCAATTTAATTATTGTATTAAATTATTATTATTTATTATATATATATATATATTATCATTTAATTATTATATTATTTATTATTATTTACGATAATTTCATGAAATTTTCAAATGGCTTGTCGCATATGTGAAATGATCAGAAGATGAAAAGAGCATTTCGACTTATGGATATATGGAAACATATAACCGGTTATTCGTTGATAATTTTTTAATCATAATTTTTTTAAATCCATGTTTAGACTGTCAAAAAGCATGGTTAAAAGTGGTTATTTGAATTAGTTCGATCGAGATATCGCTTTCATTCCACGAAACTGTTCTCACAATTTGCATGGTAAGTTATACCAATTTTATATGAAGAATGCTTCATTCTTCATGCAGTTTTAATAAATTTACATCTTCCTGTTATTGTAAGAGCATGATGTCAACGAATAACGTCTCTATTTTTAGGTTATGTGTGTATTATTCGGTTATGTGTACGTAAGTATATATAAGAGGAGTTTTGCGAACCGAGCATCACCAATACCAATTCAGAAACCTTTTGACTACACTTTTCAAAGTCTAGTTTGGTCTCCTATTCTTTATACTCCTGTTAGCGACATATGAAATCACGTAACTTGTTTGTCACTAAATATCAACGACGAGCGATATCATGAACACTATTTACTGGATTCACACTGGACCCGACACTCTGCAACCAATTAGAAAATAGGATTTTGCTTCGTATCATCGATACAACATAAAATTTTCTGATTGGTTGCAAAATGTCGTACGACGCACGTCAGATCCAGTGTGAATCCAACAATTGAACTTATAAATAATAACGATGTAAAGACTCTTAAATGTAAACGTAAATAATCAAACAAATACACGGCGAAAGAAGAGTCAGTAGATTACAAAGAAAAAAACAAAACATGTAATTAATTAAATTATTATGCGACGATACATGCGCACGGAACGGCATATATAAATGTGTAAATGTATAAACATGTGTAAAAATATAACAAGTTTCGGCTACAAGATTGAGCCCTCTTCAGATATAAAACGCAAAAGAGAAATAGACGATAAGTGAAAATTAAGTAAAAAACAAATCATGTCGCAATTAACATTAGACGTAAAGAAATAAAATTCAGATGGATCTCAAAAGTACGATTGAGTAATCAAGGTGTCCATTGTCCAAGCACAGATCGCTAGGCAAGACCGAAAAAAAAGTTATGAGAAAAAAGACAGACTTTGACAATTGAACTTATAGAATCAGAATAACCTATCCAAGTAGTGACTGAAAGGTATGAGCAACGTCATAAGGGCTACCAATCTCCCCTCTTGTTCCGAGCGTTACCAGCATTTGTGCAGACGTCATAGCTATGACACACGAAATGAAGAACTAATATTTAAGATGGCTGTCATATGGAAATCGTCATTTCCGGCCGACATCTTTATCGCCATATAAGCATATGCGTTCATTATGGCTATAAGCGCTCAAGCTTTAAGCTTGTAATCATCATTCCATCTTTATCAAGCGCTTTCAGCTTGAAAAAGAACCCACATAAAAATATATTACTAGTGTTACTACTAGTGCTAATAGTGCTAACAATACTAGTGCAGGAATAAATTCGCGTCACTATACTGTTCCTCTTGCATTTGTATTCAAATCATTTTTATATATATTACAGTACTGCACTAGACAATGCCACTACTCGTTCCAGCAGTACCATTATTGCATTAATAGTGATACTGCTCGTTCCAGCAGTAACACTTGTACATTACTGCACTACTACACTACTGCATTAGTAGTGTCACACTCATCCCAGTAGTGATACTATTAGTAACACTAATGCGAATTTATAATTACACTTTTACACTACTAGTCACGAGTAGTATCACTACTCATATCAACATACTGTATTTTAGCAGTGACACTAGTAGTGTATTTTCATACGGGAAACGTAGCCAAACGTAGCAAATAAAAATGGTAGCGATAAAAATGCCGATCGGAATATGCCGGAAACGATGACAGTCATATTGAATATCAGTTCCTCACTTTCTGTGTCATAGCTATGAGGACGCCACAAATGCTAGTGACGGAAAAACAATGGCAGTTCAGTGGCCCTGAGCAACATCTGAAAGACAAAAAGGGTGCGTTCGTTTATGCAGTTACTGCTGCAGATGTCGTTCGTTTATTCTACCTGCGGAGGTCTATAATGTAACAGAGATTCGCAAAGTGTTACATGATCGATATATTTCTCTGATTGGCTGGAGTAATTCGTAGTAGCTATCATATTGAATTTACTATCAATACAGTAGAATCTCTCTAAATTTAATTTCTGTAATCTTTGTATTCCTCATATACATTCTGTCAAAAAAGTACCGGGAATTGGTCAATAAAACACAAAATAGTTATTATTCATTCAAATTTATTGTATCGCCTTCAAAGTAGGCTCCTTTCGAAATAATACATTTATGCCAACAAATAATCCA